GATTTCACATTTTAAATGTACAGGCTGGTTTGGTAACTGGAACTCTTTGGGGGTTATTTTGGATTCCCAGCAGATTTGATTGGGTTATCCTCATTTTTTCTTCTTTTGAATGAGTTTCATGAATATTGATAGATTCCAATATAGGTGCATTGATGTTAGGTTTGGTCGAGTAATATATATATATATATATATATATATTAAATTACATTTTTAAAGAATTTAAATATGATTAGTTTTAAATTTTTTAAAAAATAATGTTTTTTCAAAATTATATAAATTTTAATATTGATGTGATAATGCGGAAAAATCATGGACTACCATGTGTTACGTGCTTAATCATGCTATAAAAAGTATTAGAATGAAAGTTTCCTTATTAATTTAAAATCAAATTCTTTTAAGTATAAATCTAAAAAAATATAAAATTTAAACATCAAACGTGTATTTAAATCATAATATAAAAACTAATGAATAGTGTAAAACTATATCAATTTAATATCAACTGGAGTACATTAGGTAAAATTTTCTGTTTGGTTCCTTCTTCTCTTCCTTGAATTTAATAATAATCTGTCCTATTGTTTTAGAGTGATGGTGCTGATAGTTATTTTTAATAATTTCAGTAGTTTTTGTTGAATTTCCTTTAGTTTTTGTAACATCCTCAATACCGGGTTAGTGACCAAATTGTAAAATTTCAAAATTTGGTGATGAAAGTAGAATAGTTGAATAGTTCAATGATTTATTTGGAATATTTTCTGAAAGTTATTAGTAATTATCAAAGGAATTAAAGGGTAAAATTGTCATTTGACAAGAAAGATATTTTCCCCCTTTATATGAACGAATCACGTGGGGGAAGAGAGTTATTTTCTTCCTCTTGCTTTCTTCTTCTTCCTGTGTGCCCAAGCTAGAGCAAATGTGAGTTTTCTATTTTGTTGATTATTTGTTAATTTAAAGTTTGAGTTTTGATCATTAGATGATAACTAAGCTTAAGGAAAGCTTAAGTTATATTAAAATCAAAAGATAAAGGAGTTAGGGAAGATTAAAGATTTGGAGTTCTTGAGTGAAATCTTGAAATAGAGTTGATAAGTTGAATTTGAAGTTAAATTTGACTTGTCATCAGCTTAATTAAGAAGTATTAAGTGTTAGAATTGGATTTGAAACATGTTGAAAATTGGGTATGATTCTTGAAGTTCATAAAGAGGAGAATAATTTGAGGTTTAAGATGAGATAAATGAATATAAATTGGTTTAAGTATGTGTATTTGAGTTAATAATATGAAAGGGAATGAAACATGAAGTATTGAAGCTGATAATTGTGAATTTTCGTATTTGAACAGTGATTTATGGGCAAAAATTTACATATTTTAATAGGGGTACCGATACCCCCTAAAGGAAAAATGGAATTTTGGTTCATTAAACTAGCTTAAGTTATTAACATCAAGTTATAAGGTTTAGGCTTCTGATAATCATCTCGGAAATTATGTTTATGTAGATATTGAGCCTAAACAAGTTCCGAAACAATCAAAGAATTAGGATCGAATCAAAGCAAGGCTAAGGTGAGTGCAATTTAATTTGTACTTATGTTATTGAATAAACATTGGCTTGCGACGAGCCAGTGACAGAGTTACTATGGTAAGAAGTGACTCCTAAAATGTTATTTGATTTGTGATGCATGCATAACTTTATATATGAATGTTTTATACATCATTGAGTATGATTGATATGATTCTCATGTATGCATGAGTATATGAAAATGGGAATATGGGTCACATGTTATTTTATGTGATTTTGATTGGTGTGAATACATTCATATGTAACCAAGTATGACATATGTGCTTACATAAAAACATGAGAAACGATATAAGCTATATGATATAATCTATGTGATTACATGCAAAGTGATATGAACTATGTGACATGTGAATGTGAAATAAGCTATGTGATAAGGACATAGAGAATGAAATGACTACGTGGTAATGAGATATGAAATATACGAGAAAGTCATATGATATAAGATCAATGATTACACGTACATGTGATACGTGACAAAAAATAAGAGATATGTGTCTATAAGAGAAATGATATGAATAAGTGATATGAATATGTGAACTGTTATAAATGATAATGCTCATGTTATGTGATATGAGAGCTAGTGGTATAGTTGGCATGCCAAGAGTCGAGGGTTTACCTATGTTCTTCGGGACATATGGATTGTTTACCTATGTTCTTCGGGACATATGGACTGTTTACCTATGTTCTTTGGGACATATGGACTGTTTACCTATGTTCTTTGGGACATATGGACTGATTACCTAGGTTCTTCGAGATCTATGGACTGGTCCTTCGGGATATTTATACAAGCTGTGGTGACAACATAGTGGTGCACAACCTCAATGTACTTACATACCTTAAGTTCTCAGTACTGTACATAGGATTATAAAAGGTATAAGTAATGTTCATGGGCTAATACATAAGCTTTAAAGAGATTAAATAAATCAATTGATATGATACTATGTGTGTTATGTTGTGAAATGTTATATGTGTTTCATAATGTGTATAGAAATGTTCAGTATATGTTTATATGATAAAAAGGAATTAGTGATAATAATATAAGTATTGATGAGTATGTTAGTGATATATGTATATGTGTGTATTGGTTATATGAAATGATATATGCTTTCGATGATATGAAATATTACAGAAATTATATGATGATGTGTGTATTGTTTGGTTAAGAATGTTAGATACAAGAGCATATGACTAAGGGATTAAGGATAATGCTAAGAAGGGAAATGATGATATATGTTCATGTATGCAATGGTTCTATGATAGGATATATGTTTTTATACGATATGATAGTATCAATTATTCATGCATTGATATGAGTAGAGTAATGTTACATGTTTTCATGCCTCACTAAGTCATCGACTTAGCGTGTGATTATTTCACACGTAGGTTTGGAAAGCGAAAAAGAGAAGTAATGAGGAACAAGACATGTCAATTCTCCTTACCGAAGATCAGATCAGAAATGTAGTTGAATTACATGTATTTTGTTACATAGAATTTAGTTGGCATGTAATATAAAAGATTTGAATCTGATATGCTTTGATCAAGTTTTGTAATATTTTAAACGTCTTTATGTAAATGGAAATTTTATACTGATGAAAGCTTAAATTTTTATGAGTTTTATATGTTTTACCGAAAGTTACTGTAGTAGGGTATCAGTACCTGTAGCAAGGGAATCGATACCTCTGAGCATTCGATACTGTTCATTAATATTCACGATATTGTTCACGACACTGTTCATACAGTATAGTATTATTCATAAATATGTATGTTTTTTTAATTGGTTATAACGAACACAATTCAACAATATATTATCATATTTTCTTAATATAAGTCCAAATGATCTGTATTTTGTTAAGAATATTGTTTTAAGAAGTCAATGTGACATCTCGGACTCGTATCCGAGTCGGGTACGGGTTGGGGTGTTACAGTTTTTGTCCGTCAATTCTATGATGTTATTTTTAATTATAATATTCTAAATTAGATAATGATAATAAAAAGGGTAAAGTGTATAAATAGTCCCTGAACTTTTAGGGCACTTGCATTTTGGTCACTTAACTTTTGAAACTTGCAATACAATCATCAAACTTTTAATTCATTTTCACTTTGGTCCTTGCCGTTACCTTCCATTAATTTTTGCTGACGTGACACTTAACTCCTGCTAACTCCCCTTCTTCTTCTCTAGGTTATCTTTTCTTCTTCTTCTCCAGAGGCATTTCCTCTAGCCATGGAGAAGTAAGTGTTGAATCCAATCCGATCAATCCCTTCTTCTTCTACTCAAGCTATCTTGAATATGGTATGTTCTCTTCTGATTAATTTTATTACCCTTTAGATTATATTTTTTATTTTTAATCTTTGGTAGCTCTAAAGATTGGGGTTTCCCCCTTTTATTGTGTGGGTATTATAAGAATGACGTGATGTTTTATGGAAATTAAAAATGAGTTTTTGGGGTTTTGATTCATTCTATGGATAAGGTTTATGGGATGTTGAGGTTGTTTTATTTTTTTCTGCAATTCTAAAGAGAAAAAAGGCAGCTTTTTGTCATTTTAATGGTGAAAAAGAAAAGGGGTTGATGGATTTCATGAGTAAATTTGGTACGTGAAATTTGATTATTGTTTCCTTGCATGTTTATGGTACCAAAATAGTATTCTTATTTGGTGATTTGTTGTTGAAATTTTTTGGAAACTTGGAATTTTACAGATTTTAGTAAAAATTAGATCTTCATATTGAAGGCCAAATAATGGATCATAAAGACAAATGTTTCACCAATTCCCCCCCCCCTTAGGGATATCTATCTAACAAGCCAAATTGAGCATGTCGTAATCAAGCCCAGATACTTAAAAGATAAATATTTTATCATGTTAGATTTCATGGGTAAAAAGAAAAAAGAGTCATGAATGTGTTGATTCTTCATTTTTCTGATCCCATTATTCTATTTTGCAAGAACGTGTTTACTCTTTATTTTTCTCATCCTATTATTCTCTTTTGCAGGTTATGAAGAAGAAGAAGAAGAAGGAGGAGGAGGAGGAGGAGGAGGAGGAGGAGGAGGAGGAGAAGAAGAAGAAGAAGGGAGTTAACGAGGTTAAGTACCACATCAACAAAAACTAATGGGAGGTAACGACATGGACCAAAATGAAAACAAACTAAAAGTTTGATGACTTTATTGCAAGATTTAAAAGTTGAGTGACCAAAATGCAAGTGTCCTAAAAGTTAGAGGATGATTTATATAATTTACCCTAAAAATCATATTAGACTTTACATTTGAACTTCCATTTAATTGGTAAACACGCTTTGTACGGGCAAATCAATATATATTTGACAATTTCCTAAATAAAATGGAACTTATCTAAGAATAGAAATTAGCTTCCAAAAATTACTTATACCTGTATCCTATAAAGTCCCTCTAGCATTGGAAGGAACCAAAACACACATCAATAAATAAATAAAAGGGGAAGGAGAGAAACAGAGCAAAAACTTCATCCGTTTTATTATTGACCTATAACAATCTTGAGAATGGCCACCACTAAGACAACACTTGTGCTTGCTGTTCTTTGTCTTTTCCTATTGTCCGAGGTATGTGATTTTATATTTTTCTATTATCAATTTATGTTCATCATACTCTTCCTTTATTTTCTTGTGAAACAATTAATCTATTCCCCCCATAATTTTAGATTGGAATGTTCATGGTTGATGCCCAAGTCCAAAGGCCAGGTAACAGAGTTTGTTAGTATTCATATTCATAAATATATTTGACATAAATCTTTATATCTATGTATGAATTTTGATTTGATGTGTACTATACCGTATAAAGTTTAAATCAAGAGTTGCATTTATGGATGGGAAAAACTCAGATTGCCAGTCAAAGTGTGCATCGAGGTGCAGCAAGTCATGGAAGCCGAAGATGTGCCTAAAAACATGCACTGCATGCTGCAACACGTGCCAGGGATGTGTGCCTGTGGGCCCTACTGCTAATAAGGAAGTGTGCCCTTGCTATGCCAAGTACAAGAAGGGCAGGTGCCCTTAGAACACACTTCCCTTCTATTTCTTTCATGGAAGTCTATATAATCATCACTTGTACAAACAAGTTGTAATTTACTCTATCTATCTTCCTTCTTCCCAAAAAAAAATGCAAGTTTAAGCTTGCTTATTTACTTCTATGTTTTTTTTGTCTTTTCAAATCTCAATTAATTTTAACCTTTCTCTTTTTATTTAAATAATTTAAAGTAATTTCATAAAAGCATCTCAACCTAAAAGTATTCTGATTTCATTTAAAAAACAATTGTAAATTTGTTTATATTACAGTCTTGAAAAACAAGTTCAACGATCTGTTAATAATACAATTTTTCTACGCATATTCTCATTGGAGTAACCATGCGTATTGTCTTAATACCCAATACAAATATCCTTAACAACATATTCAAACTTATTAGTCTTTGTAATGTTATGTACTTTAATGCGTCAAAGATGTTAGTGAATAGATTTCAATCAGCCATCCATATATGTATAGACAAAACACAAAATACATTTCTTTTTCGAGACTTTTTAATTCAGATAACATCTTAACAACTTTTGAAATTTTGCATTCTTTAAAAAAGAAGAAGAGAACAAGCAGATTCGACTCTTTTGCTCTTAAATTAGATATAAGAAAAGCATATGATCGAATAGAGTGAGTGTTTATTGAGTATGCTTCATAAAATGAGATGTGTGTATTAGTCCTATAATGATGTATGTTAATTTGAGATCATGCTATGTAGTATTATATGATCGAATAGAGTGAGTGTTTATTGAGTATGCTTCATAAAATGAGATGTGTGTATTGGTCCTATAATGATGTATGTTAATTTGAGATCATGCTATGTAGTATTGAATATGGAGGTCGGTGAAAGGTTTTAACCTTCCTAAAAATTATGATAAGACGATCCGCTAAGTCCACACGTATTCTTGATCTGTAATAAGAGATTCTCTTCTATCCTTTGAATCGGGCCACAAAAGATTGAATGGCGCATGAATGTATAGATATACATTGTTAGTGACTCGAGAAGCTATACAATGGATGTTTATGCACTAAAAGAGTTGTTAAAGGGGTAAGATGATTCATAGGTATCTCTTTTATCAACTTTGAAACATAATGAGTTTGAATATAGTTGATTATTGCATTGGAGTGGAGATCTTCAAGTGTCATAGATTAATCATATGCATATTGTCTTAATTCTCAATACTAACATCCCTAACAATATGTGTTAATTCAGATTCATTAGTCCTTGTAAATGAAAAAGGCCCTTAGAGGTGAAATAATAAAAATACCCTATGGGTAGTAAACGTCTTTTGGGCTTTATAAAGGATTAAAATATATATTTTATAATGCATAAATGATTGTCATATTGCAAGACTTGGTGCATGATGATGGGAGGGCTTAAGGCAAGTCGACCCGATCTTTATTACGATGATGCATGATGATAGAGAGGCTTGAGGTAAGCTATCCTGATTATTTCTATTGATGATTGATTACATCGAGATAAGTTCATTGCATGCATTTTGATATTGTTATTTCCCAAGTAAACTAGTTAGAGGTCGTTGGTACAATGATATGCCTAGAGTCAAGTAGCTACATCTTTATCTCTCAAGATGGTTCACCTTAGCGGAGCAACTTCGTGACGGTGTTGACACTTCGATACGTTTGGACCTACGAGTTCGTAGCACTTCGGTGCATTTAGACCCTCGGGTTCGTCTACTATAGCAGAGCAATTTCACATTAGGATAATATTTTAGCTTGCGTCACCTAGATAGACCCCTATTAGAGTTTACTTAATAATATTTTATGACGATATGCCAATATTAATGTTCCTATGCATGATATACATGTGCTGGCTACTGATGATCATTATATGCATTATATACATGCTCTTGCAATTGATGATTATATGCATGATATACATGTGCTTGCTACTAATGATTATATGCATGATCTATTTACCAATGTTGATGATAGGATTAAATATATTAATCTGGATAAGACAATCATCGGATAAATAGTTAATGGTGAGATTATTATGATGGGAACCACTTTAGTGAAATGGAGGAATATCCTAGATTGGATAATTATCATGCCTATTACATAATGAAATTAAAGTTACTGAGATCACGAATATGATAGAATGTGTAAGGTAATGTGATGAGAAAAGACATGTATCCTCTAGACCTTGGGTAAGTATAATAAACCCGACTGATAATGATAAGACTATTAGAATCATATAATAATGACTTATGTTTATAAATGGCTAGCATGGTGATTTTATGAGACTCGTGAAATATAGTAGGATCGATATGTACTTATTGGACTTAATAGCTCACCCTTTTAATTATTACTCTACATGTTCAATTTTCGGGGATCACGATGGGACAATGATATTATCAGAGGAGTCTCTGTGGGAGTACTAGAGTACACCGATGAGGACTTGAGTGGTCATGTAGAGATTATAATTTTAATCGAGTCTGTTGTAAATTGTTTATTTATGTATTTTGTGTTTTCCGCCTTTTCTAAATGTTTATTTTTTACTGGCATTATTAGTTTTAACTTTTTAAGTAAATTGTATATTTCTGAGTTTTGATTTGTAGGATCATTTTGGATGTCTAACGTGACATCGTCGATTTGAATTTTATTTTAGTCAGGTTAAAGGTGTTACAGAGATTCTCTTCTATCCTTAGGGCCACAAAAATTGAATGATGCATGAATTTATAGATATGCATCTTTAGTGACTTGAGAAGCTATGCGATGAATGTTGAAGCGCTAAAAGAGATGTTAAAAATTTATGCTACATGCTCAAGATAACTCGTTAATTTTGACAACTCAAGTGTCTTTTTTAAGTTAGAATAGGACAGCAGAGAAAAGAACATATGATTGTATGATTTTAAGGGTAAATAACAGTAATAATCCAGAAAGGTGTCTCGGTTTATCATTTATAGTTATTCAAAATAAAAGGTGAGCTTTTGTGGATTTTGTTTCTCGTTACTGTATGTTAATAGTTTCTCGACTCTGATTCTAAAAATAATTATATATAATTATATTTTATCCCAAAGTTTATTGAATATTATAATAACAACAATAACAATCGAATTATGCTTAATCTGATTATCTTATTTAAAATTTAGTTTAATTCAATTGAAGCTCATCATTTTAGTATGTGTTTTAAGTTAGAGAATGATTTTTAGAAACTAGCTTCAAAAAATTACTTGCACTCTATCCTATAAAATCCCTCTAGCATTGGAAGGAACCAAAACACACATCAACAAAAAAAATAAAAGGAAAAGGATAGAGAGAGAACAAAGACTTCCTTCTGTTTTATTATTTGCCTTATAGCAAGTTTGAGAATGGCCATCACCAAGATTACACTTTCGCTTGCTGTTCTTTGTCTTCTTGTATCCGAGGTGTGTACTTTTCTGGTTTTTATGATCAATTCCTGCGATGTTCATAATAGACTTTCTTTTATTTTCTTAAGAAACAATTAGTCATTTCTTTCCTCCATAATTTTCAGATTGGGATGTTCATGGATGAAGCCAATGTTGATAGACCAGGTAACAAAACTTATCTATACTCGTATTCGTATATGTATTTGACAAAAATCTTACATTAACGTACGAATTTAAATTCGAGATGTAATGTTGATATATAAATTTTAAATCAAAAGTAAGTATTAATAATGCATATATTGATGTGTACTATAACGTATAAAGTTTAAATCAAAAGTTGCATCTATGGATGGGAAAACTCAGATTGCCAGCCAAAGTGTGTATCGAGATGCAGCAAGTCATGGAAACCGAAGATGTGCCTAAAAACATGCACTGCATGCTGCAACACCTGCGCCGGATGTGCGCCTGCTGGCACTACTGCTAACAAGGCAGTGTGCCCTTGCTATGCCAAATACAAGAATGGAAAATGTCCTTGAACACACTTCTCTCATGGACTCCAATATGATTATTACTTGTTGAACGAATTTTGTATTTAACTATGTTCATCTTCATTTCTTCTCAATAAAAATGCAAGTTTAAGCTTGCTTATTTATTTCTCTGCCTTCTTTGTTTTTCAATCTCAACTAATTCTAACTTTTTGCTCTTTATTTGAATAATTTAAAGTTGATAAACAAATAATAGAAAAACTATATTTATGTTTTGTTTGAATAGTACGCCTGATAAATACACGAAACGACTAAACAATTGGAGTATAAGATTGTTATCGCTTGGTGGAATGGAAGCAAGTCAGTGTTGTAGGTTATTCCTATGGACGCTTTGCCCTACTTCATTTTACCAGGCTCTTTTTTTTAGAGATGTTGAAGCGTTAAATAAGAGTACAAAAGTTCTTGTTACACTCATCTGAGGATATGGAGCAGAGTGTCGTAGCCTATCGATCACTTTAAAACACTCGAATCCATCTGCGATTGTGAAATGGTCTCCTCTCACCACTTAGGTTTTTCTATAGAGTGATTCTAAAACAATCATCACCAAAAATGATCTCCGACAGATAAGATTATTCTGATGCGAAAGTTTTGTCAAAAAGCTTCATTAACTCCTATTTTGGTTTCACCACCAGAAGCAGGAATCGGCTAGCATTGGAAGATCTGAATAATGTAGCTGAGCAATTTTGGGTGGAGGATGCGACAAGGACTAGGGGTGTGCATTATCGGATATCGGAATCCCATTTTGGGTGGAGGATCCGAATCCCATTTTTGTTTTTTGCAAAAAAATTCAAAAAAAAATTAACATAAATTAAAATACATATAACGGGTATTTCTAAAAAACATAGTAAAAGCAGAAAAACAATAGGACCAATCTTCACAAGATGTTCATATTAAAAATACCACACAAGGTCTTACAGTGTAGCAGAATGTCTTACAGTGTGAAGAACATCTACAGTCACAGCATACTGCATATTTTCAATTGAAGCAAGTATCACATTGCTCTGAGGTTCTTGCTTTTTTCCGTCTGGACCAGCTACAGGCTTGGGATTACAACATATTAGTGTGAATCACTACTAAAAAACAGATCAAATGTTTGTAAATGAAAGCACTACCTGCATAAGCCCCTCCATTGCAGTCGGATTGACAGGAAGGTATGGATTGGTATAGTCCCTACAAAATGCGCAAACACAACCGGAAAATTTAATGTATTACAAATAAAGTGCAAATGCATAGCCCAATTTGAATAGAAATTGCCATTTGGTCAAGATAGAAAGCATGTACGGGTAACAAAGTGATGCTATTGCAAATGAATATACAAAATGAGAAAGACTTGTGGGCTCAAATCCACCAGCATCCTCACTAACAGCAATAGCAGATCAAGAAAATATGAGCATCCAGTTGATTTGAATTATATAACAAAGCGAAACAAAAGTTTTCAAACTAATATTGATTGAAAACTCTATTCTAATTGCAACCAACTGTCTGGAAGCTACCGTTCATCTTGGCCAATGGAAAGTGATGATGAATTCCATAAATGGACTAAGAGAAGCTAGGCCAATCATATTATTATGAAGTTCTACTTAAATTATAACACCATAAACTGATCGGAATTAAAATTTAAAAATTGCCCTTTCGACCCACAATGAACTAGCTTCTCATGTCAGTTTACATTATGCTCACCATCATAGTTGACCACCAAAAGGCAATTCCACAATCAACATAAAAACAACTTCAACTATGCTGAGATCTGCTTATGCATTGAACTGTTTTCAAAAGTTAAGAAAATTACTAAGCGCCCATGACAACACATCTGTGTGTGGTCTACTAGGCTTCACTAACACCCTAGATGACAAAGAGCATACACATTAATTACCAATATATCAGATGCCACAATAAAAGTTTAACAGTCACATTACTTGAAATTTCAGGAATAAACATGACCAAAACATTGAATTTCAACAGAAAACGACTTGGTCTTCATGGGTCCACTTTTACCTGCTCCGACGAGACTGAAACTTGATATTCAGATCAGTGTGTGCAGAATACGAGATTCACAGGTGACAAGAAGTAACATGATCTGGAAGCAAGTACCTTAAAAATATCATGAAAAAAACATTCGAATGAAACCACATTTTTATTCAATTCCCAAACCATATATGCATAATCAATATGAAAAGAATTAAGTGATGCTAGAGAAATGAGAAAAGTGAGGCTGGTGTGGAAGGAGGAACAAGATGAAAGGAAGCAAGCAGTACATATCAGGGAATACTTCTGCCATCCAAGGCATCTCTCACTGAAGAAGCAGTTTCAGCATCTGCGAATTGGATTAATGCCTGCCAACCATTGTCATAAAGATTAAAATCATATGAAAGACACGCAATCTCCACAGATCCAAAAAAATTTAAGCGCACTTTTGATATCTCACCTGGAAGCCAGCCGCCTTTTCAAATGTAGCAATTTTGTGAACAAAACCAAATGCCGAAAATACCTGAAACAAATAAATCAGAAACAATTAGATATCACAAATACAAATGAGAAAGAAGATTAGAAACCATCACAAACATGGGTATAATGTAAAAAACTGTGTTAGCAAATCCAAATGGACGAGAAACCTACTAATATAGCCCAAAATTTTTTCGTTTTTTTAGATAATCCGAATCTGATTTTTTATCAATCTGTATCCAATCCGAAAATTTGAAAAAAAATTTGTATACCCGATCTAAATTATCCAAAAATTAAAAAACGGATCGTATATTTGAATTTTCGGATTGGATCAACGGATCTATTTTTTTTTGCACACGGGTTTACTTTTATCTTTTCAGACTGTTTGTTTTTTCCTATACTGTTGTGTTGGCCCATGGAGGGACGGGCATGATTATCAATCTGATCTGATTAGAAAATTATGCATTTTTTACCTGAATCCGATACGAAAATATACACTTTTTATCCGACTCAAACTTAATCCGATTTTTTGAGATTTGATCCGACCTAAAATAATATATTTATTAAAAATATTATTTTTATTCAATAAAAATAGGATTTAATTGAAAAATAATATAGAGATGAATATTATTGTAATTATCTCTAAATATATATGCTAAAATTGTATTTTTTTGGTCGGGTCGAATATTTTTTCCTAAACCCAAACCCGTACCGAACTTGACCTCTAAAACCCTATCTCGACGTGATTCAAACCCGAATTTTTTATAAAAAAATTGACATGATCAGATTAGGTAGTACTCATCAGATTTGGATCTCGTGCTCATCCTAATCCAATGTGTCGTTTCATGTATTGTTCTCTTAGTTAATAGAAACCAGTCTGGTTAATAGTTTAAAAATATATACATCAGATTTGATATCAGTAAAATGACAACTATATATTTTGACTTCTCAGAAAGAATGATTCAACTTTGGTTCCTCCAGAAAAGCTAATTGACTTCATCCTTATCCATAGTTCCAACCTTTAAATTGTAGAAAATAGTCGAGAGATGTTCAATCCGTCAATCTTATCTAGAATATATTGTTATATTTTAACTTCTATTTAATTGGTAAACCCACTTTATACGTGCAGATCGTTCTATATCTGGCAATTTCATCTAAAAATGGTCAACTTATCTAAGATTAGAAATTAGCTTCCAAAAATAACTTGTACCCCTATCCTATAAAATCCCTATAGCATTGGAAGGAACCAAAAAGCACATCAATAAATAAATAAAAGGGGAAGGAGAGAAACAGAACAAAAACTTCGTCCGCTTTATTATTGACCTATAACAATCTTGAGAATGGCCACCACTAAGGCAACACTTGTGCTTGCTGTTCTTTGTCTTTTCCTATTGTCCGAGGTGTGTGATTTTATACTTTTCTACTATCAATTTATGTTCATCATACTCTTCCTTTATTTTCTTGTGAAACAATTAATCTATTTCCCCCCATAATTTTAGATTGGAATGTTCATGGTTGATGCCCAAGTCCAAAGGCCAGGTAACAGAGTTTGTTAGTATTCATATCCATAAATATATTTGACATAAATCTTTATATCTATGTATGAATTTTGATTTGATGTGTACTATAACGTATAAAGTTTAAATCAAAAGTTGCATCTATGGATGGAAAAGACTCAGATTGCCAGCCAAAGTGTGCATCGAGGTGCAGCAAGTCATGGAAGCCGAAGATGTGCCTAAAAACATGCACTGCATGCTGCAACACGTGCCAGGGATGTGTGCCTGTAGGCCCTACCGCTAACAAGGAAGTGTGCCCTTGCTATGCCAAATACAAGAAGGGCAGGTGCCCTTAGAACACACTTCTCTTCTATTTCTTTCATGGATTTCCATATAATCATCACTTGTACAAACAATTTGTAATTTACTCTATCCATCTTCCTTCCTCTCAATAAAAAAAAATTGCAAGTTTAAGCTTGCTTATTTACTTCCCTGCCTTTTTTTGTGGTCTTTTCAAATCTCAATTGATTTCAACCTTTCCCCCTTCTATTTGAATGATTTAAAGTCAATAAGCAATTAATAAAACAATATATTTTTATCTTTTATTTGAATATTTAAAAATTAATAAATAAAAAAGAAAATGAGTTGTTTACATTTCCGAAATTATCTGTTGTTAAAAGGGTAAAAAGTTCCCTAAGGTGATGGGGTGGAGGAGCTAAGGAAGATGGTCGAAGTTACATTGGCAACCGGGGATGCTCAATTTAGTAAATATGATGTTAAACATAACTTGTAAATGGCTCACGTTATACACCAATTGCATGAGAGGTTTTCGTTGAAAGATCTTGGTCAAATGAAATTCTTTCTTAGCATAGAAGTGCATCGGTCAGAGCATGGCCTATTTCTTAACCAAAGAAAATTCATCACAGAACTGTTGCAAAAGAATCAACTACTGTATATTAATGCTGCGTCTACACCTATGTCCTCGTCAACTAAGCTGAGAAAACATGAAGGGCATGTGCTGGGTGATCATCGACAGTATCGTAGAGTGGTAGGTGCATTACAATACACTATCACACACGACCAAATATCGCGTTTGCAGTTAACAAGGTTGCACAGTTTCTTCAAGAACCCACTGAGCTGCAATTGTTAGCAATAAAAAGAATACTAAGGTATCTTGGAGGAACATTACATCATGGTCTCTGGTTTTCTTCTCAAGTTCAAGGAGCAATGGCACTAAATGCTTTCTCAGACTCGAATTAGGGAGAAGATGTAGATGACAGAAGATCCGTTTCAGACAGTCATCTTTTGTCTTGGATCTCGAGGAAGCAACGTGCAGTGTTTAGATCCACTGCAGAAGCTGAATACAAAAGCCTCGCAGACGTAGCCTCTGAGGTGGTATGGGTGAAAGTCGTGTCGAATGAAATGTCAGTACCTTTATTTGAAGCTCTAAAAATCTGGTGCGACAACACCCGTGCAATAGTCATGGCTGCCAACCCTGTACTGAACGTTAAGAGGGTATTTGGATGGGAGAATGTGGGATTCCCATGGGAATAGAATCTACATTCTCCTGTTTGGTTAGCCCGAGAATTCCATTCCCGGTAATGTAAGATTGTCAATAGTAGATTTTTTAGGGTATATTACCGGGAATGTCATTACCTCCTTTTCTTTAGGTATTGTTGAAGCGTTTTGGACTAAAATGCCCTTAATTTTTTTTCAAAAATATTCTTCTTCTGACATTGAATAATAAAAATTCTAAAAAGGTTAAATTATAAATTTATCCTTAAACTATTTTAGATTTACAAAAAAATATAATTAAAATTTTATATGAAGTTCAGGGGCTAAAATAAAATTTTAACCTTTCATTAAATATTTTTATATTTTCAATTTTGTCAAAAAAAAAATTATATAAATTTTATGAATTTAAATTTTTTAAAGAAAATATATAATTATTTTCCAACTTGTTAAAAAACAAATATATAATAAGGACAATTTGGTTAAATATACATTCTAATAATCTTTTATTCCTTTAACCAAACACGGTAATCTTACATTCCTGCTCAGCCAACCAAACACAAAATACAATATTACTAGTAATCGTATTCCCTGGTAATCTTACATTCCCAGTGATAATCTTACCTTCCGTGAACCAAACGCACCCTAAAATCAAACACATTGAGCTGGATTTGTATTTTGCTCGGGAGAAGGTTGGAGCTCAAGAGATTCATGTGAACAATGTCCCAACAGATAGCCAAGTAGCAGATGCACAGACGAAACCTCTGACACTCAATAGATTCGAAGCTCTACGAAATAAACTGAGCATTTTTTTAGTTAAAAGAGGTTGAGTAAGGAAGTGTAAGAAAACAGGGTGAATGTTAAACATAATTTTAAATGGCTCAAGTGTTCAGGTTGTTAGTTGTGTTTCACACGTGGCCATGCAGTTTTCATTCAGTTGAGCTGTTGTGACAGTTGAAGCAGTAGTTAGAAGCAATTAGCCGTCTCTTCTCTTTCCTTTAAATATCACACTGATTTTTATCTGTAATCAAGCCGGTTAATTCAAGGAAGTATTCATCTGCTTGATTCAGTATCTTTAGTCTTTGTTAACATATGGTGATGCTGTTGATGCTCTTGGAATTTATTATTTGCTTTGCCTTTCAGCAATCTTTGAAGAATAAACTATTAAATGTGAAATTTATTATTTGCTCAATTTTTGTTTGGATTTGGTGTATGTTGTACTGTGTACGTTCTTAGCGGTTTCTAATCTTCAAGAATACTTTTGGAGTCTTCAGAATTAGGGCTCTCGAATAGTAAGAAACTCAAGCTATAATTTGATTTGAAACTCACGGCTTGAAATTCAATTAATTAGGAATGAAAAATCAAAGTCGGGTGTGATGATAAAAATGTTAAAATTAATTAGGAATGATATGAATGAGTTAGGAAAAACAAAAATCATACGCATTGCCATGCAGATGCAGTAAGCAAGCACCTATCTTGCCACTCTAAAGAAAGAGCCTTTGCTTCATCTCTTTCAAAAACTCTAAACCCACCATTAATCTCCCTTTCACACTGAAGAGGGCAATAATGGGTGGTGATTTTCAGCAGAAGTTTGGCCTGTATCAGGCACTTCGAACTCAATTTCATCCCTCCAAATCCATGCCTCTCCATCCTGCTTTTCCATGTCTCCATCTTCTCATATCTCCAACACCATTCACTGTTTTCCTCATCCTCGTCGCAGTTGATCATGCTTTTGATCTCTTTCCCTAGATGCTTTCTCTCTATGCTCAATCTCTCTGCGCTTTCCAGCGGCAGACAATCATCCAATGAATCAAACATGGCTGCAAAATGATGCAAAGACTCCATAAATCTCGACAGGAAGCTTCTTTGGCTTCGCCTACCTTCTTGTTCCACTAACACAACAATGGAAGGCCTAAGTGAATGCACTGATTTCATCGTCTCTGACACTTGCATGAAGTTATTCAAAGTATTTAAATGAAACACTATATTCACAGCAACCGTTTCGTTTTTCCTTTTACGAAGGTTAATTAGCTTGGATCCTCTTAACAGGCGTTGGAATTCGAACACCAGATTGCGAAACCCTTTGGCAAAGCTCACTAATCTACTCTCGGTTTCTTGCAGCTGTGCTAAGCTTGTTGTGAAGCCGGTTAAACGAAGCGATATGCGATTACCGGTCGTGGCCTTCTCGGAAAGAGATTGAATGAGAGAAGGCCATTGGAAGCCATAAGAGACATCAAAGTCGATAACATGCAATTCTCGGTTATTGAGGTCTTCTTCCTTCTCAAAGGCTTCGATTATAGCTTGGTTAGCGGTGAAATGAGCGAATTGGTAATAGGGTGACACCTTGTAAAGAGAAGTGAAAGCTAGAATCTCTTCTTCAATGGTAGGCTCCTCCATGATCATGTCGTAGAATGGCGATTTTCGGGTAAGAAGCCTCGCGAGTAAGCCGTCGGCAAAATAAGCGACGACCCTTTGAACCGAATCCCCCGCTAACGATACGGTCCGGTAAAGTTGTGTGAGATGGTCCAAGGACGAGTTCACATTGCTCTCGTCGACCGACGTCGCAGTGACGAGCAACAAATGGATCAAATGAAGGCCTTTACCGTCTCCGAGTACCGCAACTTTTTGCTTGTGATGATCGAGCTTTAACATCTCCTCTCTCACTTGAAGAAGCTTGAATATCTTCCCTTCGCAACCTTCGTGTGAGGATGGGACGTTGTTTAATGGCGGCTTGCAAGCATGAACATTTCTCTTCCTCTTCTTGTTTTCGAACTTTTCGACGCCAGGATCCGCCATAATTGCCAGGTTGAGTTTCAGTGGCTCCTCATATGAACCTTCTTCCATGATCATGCTTCGACAGAAAGAGTTAACGATGGAGAAACATAGATCCGAGAGGAAGATTTGAAGAAGCAGACAAGATTTTATGACATGAACGAGGCTTAGCATTTAATGGGTAAGAATATCATGAGAATAACCCCTGAAAATTCCCTTGGGTCATTACATGTGAAATGAACCAAAATATTAAGTATAAGCGCAGAGAGAGAGAGAGCGGTGGAAGATTTATTCATGGTTAAATTATGGTTCTGGTCCCTTTATTAATCTCATTTTTAAGCTTGATTCTTATACTTTAATTTAACGTAATTGGGTTCTTTATTCTTATAATATTATTAGTTAGTCCTAACCGTAATTATTCATGATGGCAAACACCCCTTACAATATAAAAAAAGGGTGTATGCCGACATAATTAGTTGGATCTTCATGTCATTATTTTAATCAGAATACTTAACCATTCATATTAACTAGCGACGTTATAAAAGCAAATGATCAAATTGTATCAAATGAAAAATATGAAGGCTAAATCTTAAATCTAAACAGAGTATAAGGATCTGAACAATAATTTGACTTTCTTTTAATTAATTTTTTAATTGGATTTTAGATAGAGATAAAATAAGGGAGTCATCGAATTCTAATGAATAAATGTGTTCGGTGAAGAAATCTTTTAGATTTTTTTTTCCTCAAATGAAAAATGGCTTTGGAAAAGCAATGTGAAATGTAATTTTGGAGTTGGAGAAGGTAGGCTTGAAAGATGCCAAATTGAAGTGGGAAAAAGTGATGAACATGAACCTACCCACCGCCCCCACCTTTTATTAAAATTTTCATATTTTTTAAGATAGAACGTATATTTGATTTTTATTCTAAATATACACACACGTATATATAAATTAAGTTACTCAAATTCATGTGCACGAACCAAAATACTTCAATGATAAAAAAATTATTGTTATTTTTTGAGATCGTGATTTCGTACATCGATAATACTAAGGTTGAGGCATAAAACAGAAGTGATACTATGTCGATCTCAATGACTTAATAATCCGAATATACATTGGGAGAAACGTTTGAATGTGTCCAAACAAGCAAGCTTTGGCCCAAAAAAAAAAAAAAAAACAAGATCACATGGAGCATCAAAGCAACCTTTTGCTTATCTGTTTACTGGCAAGTTAAGCAACCTCGTACAACCATGCAGAACAAAACAATTTTATTAGTGGATACAATATTTTGATGAGAAAATAATTTCAGTGACCAAAAATACCTTATAATATATGATTTTAACCAATTTTTTTTGGATTTGCCAAAATGACCAACTAAATCGCAATGCGATCGATAATTCGCAACGCGATCTCCGCTATCGCAAATCAGTTTCCAGATTCGTAATGCGATTCTGACTATCGCATTGCAATTTCCCAAATTCGCGTTGCGATTTTCCTAATTCGCACTTCGATTTACGTAATCGCATTGCGATTTAGTAAATCGCAACAAGATTCTGACTATCGCAATACTGAATTTCAAATTCGCAGCTCGATTTCTGAATTTGCAACAGGTTTTAATTTCGCAACACAAATGTTTTGGGTATATAAATACGCAGCAGCAACAACTCATAACCTAAATCCCTAAATCGCAACTCATTTCATCTCCATCTATCACTCTCTCCGGCGACATCCGTTCTTATATCCAACGACATCCTTCCCCATCCGGCAACATGTTTTAGTTTCGCAGCTCGTTTGTTTAGTAAATTAATTTACAATAATGAAATCATCTAATGTTGATCGTGTTTGGATAGATTTGTGTTTTGGAGGGTCATGGGAGAATGTTCATGGTGTTTTACAATATATGTCTTTACCCATGAATCTTCAACTAAAACTGTCATTAAAAAAGTTAACTTATGAAACTCTAATGTTACGTGTTGTAAATAAATTGAATTTAGAGCCTCTAAGTGGATTTAGGCTATCTTATCAGAAAAATGGTAAAGTTTATTTGTTAACCGACAATGAAGATGTTGAACGATTCATTGCTAACATTAGTGTTTCAAGTGATGATGTTACATTGTATGTTGTTGAACCTAGAAGTAGTGAAGTTGGGTCAGTAGCGGGTAGTAATCAACTAAGTTTTTCAACCCCAGTTTATGATGCTCAAAATTTAATGGTTCCACCACAATTTCATCACCAAGCAAATATTGTTTCACCACATTTCCAATACCAAACACAATCTCAAAACCCACAACCTTTCCCTAATCCAAATCCCAATCAACTTTCAGCACCAAATTCCGGTTTTTGTATTGACCAGTTAGACGATGATGAGCCAACAAAAAAAATTGTGAGTACTAGTCAGTATTCAAAATTTGATCTTGGTCAATACTCGGATTTTGATGATTTTTCAGAAGAAGAAACAGACCCTGCGTGTAATGATTTTGATATTGGTCAATACCCGAATTTTGATGATGAAACAGCCGTTGCCGAGGAAGATGTTGTTGATGATAATGAGGAGAAAGTTACGACTGTAAATGAACATGTTGAACATCTATTCTGTAATTCATATAACACTGAAGAAGAAAAAGAAGAAGAAGAAATCCCCAAAGAAAAGTCCCCGAAGAAAATGCCACGGGAGTATAACTGGAATATGCCAGAATTACTTCAGATACCAGAATAAGAGTTGGTAAAGATAGCAGTTGATTGTCACACAAAAATTATTCGTATCAAGAAAGATGATTGTTTTGATACAAAGGAAGACTTGAAGATAGCTTTGTATACGAAATGTGTGGAAGATGGCTATCAACTAAAAGTTAACAAATCAAGCAAAGATCGTTTCAAAACAAGGTGTATGATTGACAAAAACTGTATGTGGCGTATGATTGCAAAGAGGATAAAAGATTGCGAAATGTTTCAAGTTAGGACTTTTATTGATAAACATACATGTTCAAGAACCAAAGTTTTTCCTCACCATAGACAGGCAAACAAAAATGTGTTGGGTGGTTTTCTGGCTGAGTTAATGTTTTTGAATGGTAGGGTATATCGGGGACATGAAATTATGACTGACATGAATGCTCGGTTCAAGATTAGTATCTCATATTCTCAAGCTTGGAGAGCCAAATGTTATGCCTTGGAATTGTTGAGGGGGCCCTCAGAAGCATCGTTTGCCCAACTGCCGGCTTATTGTCACAATTTAAAGCTGAAAAATCCTGGGTCGATAACTCATATCAAAACAGATAGAGATGGACGCTTTGAGTTGCTGTTTATCGCCATTGGTGCTGCGGTTAGTAAATCAATATAATTTTGTTGACTCATTTTTGTTAGTTACATGCATTTCACATTTAAATGATTATATTTCTTGTGTATATGATTTTGTAGATTCGTTCGTTTATTAATTGCATGCGCCCAGTTATTATAGTTGACGGAGCAAATTTAAAAGGTCGATACCTTGGAGTAAACTTATTAGCAGTAGCCATGGATGCTAACAATGGGATACTGCCAATAGCTTACGGGGTTGGAAAATCTGAAACCTCTGATTCATGGACATGGTTTATGGAGCATCTTAGGGATTGCATAGGTCCTATTAGCAATCTGACAATCATATCCGATAGGGCAAACTCAATTGACAACGCTGTTAGAAGGTGTTTCTCAGATGCTTTTCATGGACTTTGTGGTGTTCATTTGTATAGAAATCTAAAATCAAGGTCTGCTGGTATAAAAAATCACAAATGGACATACTGGAAGGCTGTAAAAGCTTATCGGGAAGTGGATTTTAATAAGCATATAAACTGTTTAAGACGTGTTTTGCCTCAGTGTGCTCAAACACTAGAAGATGTCGGGTTTGAAAGATGGTCAAGAGTACATCAACTTGGAGCAAGATATGGTTTCATGACGTCTAATAGTGCAGAATCAATCAACGCTCTAAGTCATCATTCCCGGAAATTACCCATTACTATGTTAATGGAGTTTTTTCGAGCCTCTATTCAATAGTGGTACTACAAGAAAAGAAATCATGCAGGTATTATTTCTTTAAATTCGTAACTTATCATATATTTTACTAAGTATTATTTATTTAAATTTACAGGAACATTGGAACATCGTGTTACACTATGGACAGAAAAAAAGATAACGAAACGTGTTGTGAAGCCAACGTCATGGAGAGTTGAACCATGTTCAAACCCTTTGTTTGAAGTACTGGATAATAACTTAAATGGGCTTGTCGATCTAAATGCAAAGACGTATAGTTGTATGAAATGGCAAACATCTGGTTATCCGTGTGGCCATGTTATAAAAGTTTCTCTTCATCTAAATCAAGATGATTCAAGCGCATACGCTATGGATTGCTACACTACAGAAGTATGTCGACAGACTTATGGCGAGATTGTCTACCCTATTCCACATCCTTCTGAGTGGGACATATCAGATGACTTACAAATAATTTTGCCACCAGCCATGGACAGAAGGCTACCTGGCCGACCAAAAAGTCACTATCGTATACCGTCTAAGGGTGAAGAGAAGAAGAGATCGACATGTAGTCGGTGCAAGGAAAGTGGTCATACAAGGTTGACATGTGGATCACCAGTGCCATCACAATCATCTTTTCCTCTACCAAAATATGGATCCTCATCAAAATCCAAAGCTCATATGGTGTCAAGCAAAAGGCAATCAAAATCGCAATCATCTTTAAAATCCCAATCACAACCGGCTTCACCTTTTGGGACAGTTAACTTAGGTGATTTTTAAATGCAAACGTTGTATTATGTGGATTTTATGTGTGAACTTTTAACATTTTCAGTTAGGCATGTATTAGTAACTTGAGTTTGAAAATTGCTATGATCTGTTCAGTTGTTATCACTTATGAGGCATTCATTTGACTATCGCAACATGGAAATGACGTTCGCAATCATCTTAATGTCTATCGCAACGCGGAAATGACTATCGCAATGTGAAATGAAAATCGCAACGAGAGAATCGCAATGAGAAATGAAAATCGCAACGAGAGAATCGCAATGCGAAATGAAAATCGCAACGAGGGAATCGCAAAGCGAAATGAAAATCGCAATGCGAATTTAGTTTCGCGTTGCGATTTTAGTTTCGCGTTGCGATTTTGTCGTTGCGATTTTCATTTC